TCATGCAAAATACACAATAACTATAAATATGAATAAATGTCGCCTTATATCCTTGCTTTCAATGAAAATATAATTCACTATAAATTCCGTGAACAAAATGGGAAACAACACCTTTTCAAAACCTGGAAAGCTGAAAAAAACCAAACCAAAACAAACAAAACTAAGATAAGATGTTGGAAGCATTTACCTACATTTCCTCTTTTGTAATTCACAGGAACCTCTCCCCTCCACACACACAGAAGATTTAAATATATTTATGCAACTGTCTTTTTAAATGTAAACTTTTATAATTTAAAATGCTTTAAAGGTAAGATTGTATGCATGCATATAATGCTTTAAATGTAAAATTATCTGCCTGTCTGTCTGTCCATCTGCCTAACTATCCCCAATATCTGAAATGTTCAACCTGGCAATTTACATGGGCTTTATTCAGGATTATCATCGTTCTCTCTGACCCAAGACCTCATTAAAAAGCTAGATCAAGAAATAAACCCAGGTAATCCTCTACTTACAACAGGTCATTTAGTGACCGTTCTGTCAAGCACCAGGGAAATCAGAAGATCCAGGTAGTTCAAATGAGTATAAAGATTTATTGCAAGCTTAAGCTCTCTACAAGAATCTGAACTACTAACAGTCAAGAAAAATTGGGGAAATGCAAGAATTAAGAAAGGAATTCAAGCTGGGCTGCACTCAGATCTTTGGTGGGAGTGCAGGGACTCATGACTAATGACGCATTTGACCCCTCCCTCAGGTTCAGCCTGGTCATCTCCTAAACATTCAAAATTACAACGGCACTGAAAAAAGTGACTTATGACCGTTTTAAACACTTACAACCATTGCAGCATACCCACGGTCATGTGATCAGAATTTGGACGCTTGGTAACTGACTCATATTTATGACAATGGCAATGTCCCAGGGTCATGCAATCATCTTTTGCGACCCTCTGACAAGTCAATGGGAAAGCCAGATTCACTTAACAGCCATGTTACTAAGCAGTGCTTCACTTAACAACTGTGGCAAGAAAAGTCATAAAATGGGGCAGAATTCATTTAACAACCATCTCGCTTAGCAACGGTTAAATTTTGGGCTCCCTAATCCTAACCCAACCCTGTAATAAAAGTAGTCTGAAATCCTCAAATCAGCCAGCTTAATTGGAAGGGCACAGAGGGATTGGAGAGATTTTTAACATGGCCTGTTCCCCAGGGCTGGATAACAAATATGTTTTAAAACAGAATGTCTATTAAAAGTATTATTATTAAATTTGTACAAGTCTATGCCTGCATGAAGAATATTTTTAAAACATACAAGTAGCGATGTACCTCTAACTACAGTAAAGAAGTAAAAAAAATCAATCAATAGGGCTAGGAAAAAAAGTATTTTCCAATATCTACCTTTATAAGATCAAATAAATAATCATGAAAGAGAGAATACATGATCAATAAAGGTCAAAAGTACAGGTAGTCCTCAACGTATGATCACAATTGAGCCCGAATTTTATGTTTTTAAGTGAAACATTTGTTAAGTCAGTTTTGCTCCATTTTATGACCTTTCTTGCTACATTTGTTAAATGAAGCACTGCAGTTGTTAAGTTAGTAACATGGTGGTTAAGTAAATCTGGCCTCCCTATTGACTTTGCTTGTCAGAAGGTCACAAAAGGGGATCACACGACGCCAGAACATAAATATGAACAAGTTACCAAGCACCAAATTTTGATCATGTGACCATGGGGATGCTGCAATAGTTGTGTGAAAAAATTAGTCACTTTTTTCAGTGCCATTGTAACTTTGAACAGTCACTAAATGAACTGTTGTAAGTCAAGGACTGCCCGTATAGACTTTCCCTAAAAATTAAGTCATATCCAGATCATCACGCCAACAGCTTTATATCTCCATTAACTTAGTCAGATAGTATCTTATCTTAGACTTCTTCTGAAATCATTAAGAATGTTTATGCGGAGAACACCAAGTTTGCCAAACCATTTGATATTGACTTGGTTGATAAATATTTCAGGGAGGGCGATCTACTTTACCTCTTCTTTTCTTGGCAAACTATTCTGATAAAATATCAAAAATAAATGGCCTAACGTTTTATCTAAGATCTATCATCAGAGACAATATAGGTTCATGCATTAGATTATGCCATGCTTTCTTTCAGGCATGACTTGTAGAATTAGTCATAATGGCTTAATTCATGTGTAAATTATAGTTAATAATTCAGGGGCTGGCTTCACATCTGAAACAAGCCACATATGAGCTCAGGATGGTCCATGAACATAATTAGTGTCCAATCTTTGCTGGAGACCAGAGAGTGGAAGAATCATCCCTAAGGGTTCAAGAATTAAGTTCAAAGAACTATGCTTACGCATAATAACATAACATTCTGTAACTGAGACTGAACATGAAGGTGGTAATTATATTTTTTAGAACTTTCTGGTAACATGCAAGTTATTTTGTTAGTCTGATAAGCCTTGAAAAGAGCAGGAAGAATGTACATTTTGCCAGACAGGTTGGATAACTATACCCTATTCTGCTGTCTAAAACTACGATGGGTATACCAAGATAAGCCTGAGGAATCACTAGATTTAGCTCTGCAGAATTTTACAAGGATATTCTAATCAACAGCTTGAAAGCAATGGGGATTCAAAATGTCTTCATTGCCATATTTCTATACGACCAAATTCTCCAGGAATTTTCCTCAGCCCAGGAATTTTCCAACCTCAATACCACTAAAGGCATTAAATATTTTCTTGAGAGTAAATATGAAGGAAAAAGGAATGCATCACCTTCTTCTAGCCTTCCTGGAGAGAGGATAAAACCAAATATTGTCATACAAAAAAAAAAAGAGTGAAGGCATAGAAGAGACAGTTCAAAGGACATAGATATAAAAAGTCTTAAAAAATGAAATTATTACAGAGGCCCAAGTAAAACATTTTTTTAAAAAAAAATATCTTGGGTTCTATCAAACTGAAATAGGACAGAACTTTTTCCAAGAAAGGGAAAAGGGCTTATTTTGGTTATTCCTCCCGACAGGAATGGTCTCCTATCCCTTGAACAAGATGCATGCTTTCAGGGAACAGATTTGCTATCAAAGTATCTAGTTTGGTCTTTGGAAAAAGAGTTGGTATGCAATTTAGGCCTCAGATATCCAAGGATGGGATAACTATTTATAAATACTATTATCCAACTCACTCTTACTACTTAAGAGTAGTAAGCCTTGGCATCATCTTCATTTAACCTGTGACAAATCTAACCAACACTTTCCTTTTTAGACACTGCAAATTCAAAACAGTCATGACCATTTTCAACACTGCAAGGACTAGTGGAATACACATTCCTGAATCAGAAAATGTCAAACATCTGCTTTTATCTTCCAGAAAGGATTGGGATAAGAGGATAAGCGACTTGAACTCACTGAATATCTGATGGCTGCAGCCTAAACCAGAAAAATTCCAGCTCAAAGCTAATCTGGAGATGAGATTATAACATTAGTATTTTATTAACAGAGCAAAAAGAAAAAGAAAACATATTCACTTGAACCAAGTTTTTGTGCACGTACTATTAGCTTGCTGGGCTGACTTATTTATTAAATAAAACCGACACGCTGAATACTGCACAATTATTAATAAAGTCACAAGGGTTTCCAGAGAAAAGAATAAGAGTTCCATGTTAAACCCAATCCTTCAATTAAAAATATTTAACCTGTATTATGACTGCTTATCAATACATCTACAACTCTGGTTGCAAAGCTATATATATACTGTTACATCGCTTAAGCGAGAAGAGAGTAGACAGAAAGTCAGGTTGTCACCCTTCTCCATTTATATATTTCAGTGGAAAAATGGGACGGCTTTTTCCCCCCCATCCAGGCCTTGATTTTTATTTTTTATTTTTTTGTATCAACTATGTACTCCTTGCTCTGCCAGGCTATAAAACAGCTTGCAAAAAAAGGGCACATAAACAGTGCTTGCATCAATCATGGCAGAGGCTTCCCAGCTACCACAAAAAAAAAATACTGGTCATTCCTTACTGTAACCAGTGGCAATGATCCCTATAAAACAAGGATTTTTATCCGAGGAAAAGGGGGTGCATTTTGTATCCTGCACGCTGCCCCCTCCGGTGCCAAAGGAAGTGATTGATACATTCCCCATCTTTTGTTCCAAAAGACACCAGCGCATCACACATGTCACCAGAGCTTCCCCCTCCTGATAGGGCAGGATGCACGCACGGGCAGACCCAGCTCTCCCGACCCTTCTGGCTGAGCCAAAAGAACTTTACGCCGGAAACCTTCCTTCTCCCTTCAATGCACCGAAGGGCTCAGCCAGGCACCCTCGCCCGGCCGGATTGCGTTTCCTTCCACAGACCGAAGGCTGAACTTACTGCCAGGAGAGAGAAGATGTGACAAAGGCGGCGGCGGCGGCAGGCCCTTCCCCCCCCCTTTCTTTTCTTTCTTTTTAATAATAAAGAGAGAGAGAGCAGAGCCAACCTCAACGCCAATTGCGCCTGCTCTCCTCGAAAACCGCTCTCGCAGTCCGGCGTCAATGCAATTCCCCTCCTCCGGCGCCTCCCGGCTAGAGCCGGTTTGCTCTGATGCTCCTACTTTTCGGTCTGCTTCGCGAGCGGCGGCGGCGGCGGCGGCTCCTCCACCATTGTCTGTGCCCCAGACTCCCCGGATCGCGGCACAGGCGCTCAGGTGGCCTGCCGCCCGGGCGAACAAAGAGCCGCCGGCGCTCGCAGGCTGGAATAAGCCGGTCCCGGAAAAGCTCCGCTCGCCGGGAAGCCCCAACCGGGGAAAACAACGTGTCTTTTACCCCCGCCCTTCGCCTCTTCCCCCTCCCCTCCCCTCCCGTCCCTCCAAACCAAACTTGTCAACTGCGCATTTGCACCGAGCAGCAGCAGCGCCGTTGAGCAAGCAGGCGGCGGGGGCCAGGCGGGCACGCACCGTAAACATATGTATGGGGGGGGGTACAGACTGCTCGCTCCTCGGTTGGACTCGTCCGTACCTGACCGAGCCGCGCTCTTCTCTCTACGCCGCCTTCCTTCCTAGCGGGGCTGAAAAGCTGCGGCTTCCTGGAGGATCGGGGAGAGGGGGGGAGCTGGAGAAGGCGGCGACCCCGAGAGTCACTCAGTCATTTTGGTCAGCCTTGCAGAGACGCGGGGGTCTCCTAGAAGACAAGGGGAGAAGAAGAAAAAAAAGCAGGGTGGGCTGTCAGGCTTGTCCTCGGCAGCTGCTACCCGGACCTCCATTTTCTCCCTCGAGGTTCCCCCGATGAACCCGAAGCGGAGCTCTTTTCCCAGCTATCCCCTTCCTGGCAAACCTGCCCGTCCCGGCTCCCGCCCCCCCCCCGCCACCTCACCCCAAAACGCGGGATCCTTGGCTGATCCTCCCTCTCGCCGGGATCCAGCGCCGAGTTTGAAATGGGCACCTCTTGCAAAGTTTCCCTCGCCTGGCGCCGGCGCAGCCGCCGCTTCGCTCTCTGGCGCTGGATGGCCAAAGCCCAAGCGGATTCACACCGGCACCTTGCTGGCTGCTATGAGGCGGGAACTAGGAACCCTCGACGTATTACAGCGAAGGGCTGTTTTCAACCGGCTCCCCGTTTTGCATAAAACACGAGAGCCGGACTCTGCGTCGAAGTATCTATCGGCTTGCATAATTTTCTTTTCTTTTTTTATTTTTAAGGAGAAAATAATCCCAGGCGGGATTGGCGGCCCGCCTGCTTGAGCAAAAGGAGGTGAAACTTCATGCTCCGCTCAATCCCTCTCCACACGCGAGTTAGAGCGGACCTTACCCACTTCTGGACTCACTCCCTATATTTCATCCCACTTTAAAACGGCGCTCTCTGGCGTATCGTCGAGGCGAAAAACTTCATAGGTGGTTGTTTTTAAACGAAGACTTTCGAGTGGACTAGAAACCTCCCCGCCCTGGCCACAGATCTGAAGGTGGTTTGGCGCGGGTTCAAAACGGTTTAGCGGCCTCAGCGGCCACATTAATCACAGCACCCCGAGTTAAAATGGAAGCAGCAACCTGAAATAAGTGCTATTATATTATGTGTACATTGTGGTCGTTTCCCTCTCCCTGCCATCTACAGCTTATCTCACAACAGTTGTCTGCTATTCAACAACCGCTCAAGGTTATCCATTCCTCCAGTATTGTGGACAAGATAAGGCTATGGGGCAGGAAGTTTTACTGATACACAGGGGAACAGCGCGAAGTAACTACGCTTCCTGTTTGTTGGGTGCAACTTGGAGTTCTGTTTTCTTCTGGACACATGGGAGAAAGTCATGTCTACGTGAATACTTTGGAAAGTGCCTGTGCGGGTGCCGTGCAAGTAACCAGAGCCGAATTGTCCACTGGTTAGCAATATCTATTCCATCATCAGTCCCTTTTTGGCACCCCTTTCCTTCCCAAATAACAGACTGCAAAATTGGAAGCGAGACAATGTGGCTTAGCCCTTTCAATGTTTGGATTAAATAAGGAAGACCCAGATTTTAGTTTGCCCTCTAATGCAGAGCTTTTTAACCGGTGGTACACGTACCACCGGTGGTACTTTGGCACCTGGCAGGTGTATGCAACCGTCCTAGAGAAGTGGTAGCAGGGGAAGGGAGAGGAATGAGCTGAAGCGACAGTAGCACGGCACAAGCCTGAAGGAGAGACAGCTGGAGCTGCAGGGCTGGGCAGAAGCCCCAGGATCAGCGCCCGGCTCCAGCTGATTGACACTTCTGGGAGCTGGAGGTTCCCTGAAGTGAAAAGGAGGAGGCGGGAGGAGAGAGGAAAGGATATAAAAGGAGGTTTTAGAAGGAAAGGGCCAGTGAGGGGCTGCCCCCACCCCGCCCCCTGGGCAAGCGAAGAGGGGGCGGCGAGCACCAAGCGTCCCTGCTGACCACTGAGAAAGAAAAAAGGTAAGAGAAGCGCTTCCCTTTCCCCCAGGATGCCCGCGCTTGCCTTCTCTGTGCACCCCCAGGGGGCAGGGCAGAGATGGCCAGGGGGGACTCACTGGCTCCAGGGCTGCCCTGTGGATCTAAGGCTGAGCGCATTCAGCTTTGAGGGCCCCCACCAGAAGATCAGCGCCATGCCTGCTCGCTGACCTAGCCTCGCAGCCACCAGGCTTCCCTTTCACCAGGACCGCCCCTGCCTGCGTGGGATAGCGACAACCTGTGGCAGCATAGCCACTGGCAGCGCTGGCAATCCCCCCCCTGCCATCATCCCTTCCTGAGTGCGGAGAAAGGAAAGAGAAGCAGGGAAGGAAGGATTATAATGAGAGGGAGGGAGAGAGGGTCTGAGGGAAGTCCTGCCTTAGCACTTGGTCACGACCAGCTCTGCTGCCCTTTTGCCATCCCCTTGTCCCCTCCCCTCCTGACTCTTCTGGTGGTCTCCCATCCTATCGCTGAGGATGCTTTGGTTACAAAGCTGGGTCTCCTCGCATGGAGAGGGAGTGGGCCTCCCTCTGACCCACACATTTTGCCGTCCCGCATACACCATGAGCAACCTGGCCAAGGAGAGCGAGCCAAGCAGCAGCAGCCTTGAGGAGAAGGTAAGCCCAGCCGGGCACCCCCTTGGGGAAGGCTGGGCTGAGCTGGGGGTCCTCCGTGTGGCCTGAGAGCACAGGAACCACCACCGAAGAAATTAAAACCGGTACTTTTTTCCTTTTTTATTTTTTACGGTTTCTAACCTTTTATTAGATTATGGAATAAAATACAAAAATACAAAAGCAAATATTAGGACACAGTGGGGAGGAAGAAGGGGAAAAAAGTGAGGGGGGAGAAGGGGAAAAGAAAAAGCACTGACTTCCGACTTCCTCTGTTGCAGTAGAACAGTGGTTCTCAACCTTTTTAATGCCGCGACCCCAACCGGTCGTAAGTCGAGGACTAAACCGATCGTAAGTCGAGGACTACCCAACCGGTTGTAAGTCGAGGACTTTTCCTGCCTGGGAGCGCCACGCATGCGTGTTTCCGCCCCCTGCGCCGGCCGAGGCGTAGCTAGCAAGCGGCAGAGACGGAGCAGGCCGACCACCAGCTGGCCCAGCTCAAGGGAGGTAAGGCACCCGCCGGAAAAGGGGCAAAAAAATGGCGGACAGCCTTGCTTGGCGACCCCCGTGAAATGGTCGATCGACCCCAAATGGGGTCCCGACCCACAGGTTGAGAACCACTGCAGTAGAATGAAGCATTAACATCAAACTTCAATTTTTTACTTTTCCATAATAGTATAAAACTAGCCATTTCTATAACAACAAATGAATGTAACCAGTAAAACCCAAAATTCCCCCCCCCTTTTTTTGTCATCAAGTTTTTGACACCTTGCTAAGTCCTAAAAGTGGTACAATCTGTGAAAAGGTTGAAAAGCCCTGCTCTAACACACGCTAGTCCATAGGTCCCCAATCTTTTGGGCACCAAAGACCAGTTCCGTGGAGAGAGGTTTTTCCACAGACCAGAGAGTGCGTGGTTTTGTATGCTGCCTGCATCCCGTGGATGGGGCTTTGCTTATTTGTGTGACCCGGTTGCTGGCATGCTGCGGCCCGGTACTGGTCCACAGACTGGGGGTTGGGGACCTCTGAGCTAGTCTACTCCCTCTATTCTAGGGGGTGTCTTTGTCCAAGTTACTCTCGTGCAGCTGAATCTTGCAGGGTTGTTGTCATGGATAAGAGTAGAAGAGAGCACTCTATATCTTGAACTCGTCTACAAAAGGCACAATATAATTGTCTTTGTTTTGGGAGGTTCCTGGCGACTACCTGGACAACCCCTGCAGTTTCCTTGGCAAGATTTTGGAAGTGGGTTGACAGTGCCTCCTTCCTGGGTCAGAGAGAATAACTGGCCTAAGGTCACCCAGTTGTGCCTGAGGCAGAACTAGAACTCACAGTCTCCCAGTTTCAAGTCTGATGGACTACCAAAATGATAGGCTAAACATAATAGTCTGCACATAAGTACTTGCGCTATACTATACTGCACTGCACTACATGTAGTCTTCAACTTACAACTGTTATTGAGCCTGGAATTACAGAAGTTGTTCCAGTTCCTAAGCAGGTCACCTGGTAACTGCACCCGACTTTATTCTTTTTTGCAGCAATTTTAAGCAAATCCATTGTCGGCAACCAGAAGCAGTGGTTTCCAGCAAAAAAGTGTCATAAATTGCAGTCACATGATCATAGGACCCTGCAAACAACAGTAAAAGTGACGATTGCCAGGCACCTCAAATACAGTCACATGACTTGGGGGATGTTGGAATTTTGAATATGGGTCATAAGTAGCCCTGGAGAGGTCTGTCATAACTTTGAATGGTCAATAAGTGACCCATTGTAAGTTGAGGACTATCTGTACATCTTTCCTACAGAAAATGCCTTCATAAGATTTTGTAGAATTGCCATGTTCTTGAAACATCTAAAACAGAGTTTCCCAATCTTTCAAGGTTGATGGCCCAGAACAGGAAGGGGGGGGAAAGGGATGGTTTTTTTGGGGGGGTGAACACATGGGTGCGCACATACACACATGGCTCACGTGAGTGGAAACGAGCGCTCATGCTAATGGGGCTGCAAATGCCTGCGATGCTTGCGTACGTGGGGCTGTTCACACGCGCAAACACACCAGCCAGCCTCTAACGCGGCCCACAGGTTGGGGACCCCTGATCTAAAATGTTCCCAGCAAAAAAAGTTTTTACTGACAGCCCTAAGATGTAAGCAATGTGCAATTATTCTTTTAATCCACGTTGATGTGCTTCTGAACCAGAGGCCAGACTCACCTTTTTAAATGTAGATATTTATCACCTTTTGATCATTCCCTTTCTTCTTTATTAATTAAATACAATTTTAAAAGCAGCAGGGTTTCTCACTATAACGGAGGGTGCGTAATGCATCGATAGCTCAAGACCAATTAAGTGGTACAAACATTCAGAAAATTAATTTAGTATTTTTTTTTTAAACATCTCACTACTGCTGTGACTATGGCCCAGTTTTTAAAGTATCCTTGCGTCGTAAAAAGATTCTGGATACAACCCTACTCAACCTGTAGGAGAGCAAAGTCCATAATCTGGCACCTAAATGAACTACTAGA